AAAAAGGCAATTGATAAGCGCTGTATAAAGCGCTCATATTCATGGGCGTTTGTTTGGCGATCTGATTGTCACTATCTGTGGCGTAGGGTGTCGAACTCCAACGTATTCCTATTCCGTCGGTGTATCCCCCCTCGCCTTCCCACCCATCCATCGTCCTCGGATCGACATTCAACGGCACCAGCCCAATTCTATGCGCAAGCACCTCATCATGTATCACCGACGTGTTATCGAACACATTACACCTGGTCAATCGCTATCGTCGGTACCTCTGCCTATCATTATACGGCGGAACGCATTCGCGATGCTTGGCGTCGATGCCGATGATGTCGAATTCGATAGACCGTTGGGAGAGTCGGTGGGTGCGTACTGTGAGGTTCTGAGCTGGCACCAAAGGGGGAGGATTCGTTTAGAAGGGAGTGTTTTGGAGGAGGGGGAGGAACGCACCTTTTTTGAAGGAGTCTAAATTCCAACTAATGGTCTTCGTCGGGGTAATGTCCAGGAAACTCGGTATTGGAGACGTGTGATACGCGTTCGGCGCCGATACTGACTAGTCGACGCGGGTTTACGTTCATTGTTCTTTTTTCTTCTTTTCTTTTATTGTAGTTCACGGTGTTTGTTTCTTTTCCCGGGCTTATATTCAGCAGTTCGAGCAGTTCTCTGTGCGTGTGTTTTGATTCCGTCGTAGGATAATAGATTTAGATAGGATTCGAAAAGATAGCGACTGGAGGCAGAAGCGAAAAAAATAATAATAATAATATATTCAAACACGTGCACCGAAGCTTTGTAAAACCCCAACCCTAAAGTCATATCTTTACAACAAACCAAGACAATGTTCGAACCAATCCGTGGAGGCACCCGAGGCGGACAAGGAGATTTTAAATGGACGGATGTATCTGCGGATAAAGATAGAGAGGTGATTTAATTCATATATACTGAATCTTTATACCCCCACTGCGTCGCCCGTTCCATTCTCTGCTTGTTCCTTGAAATTTCCTAGTGCTCGTTCTGACTTCTCTCTCTCTCTCTCTCTCTCCCCCCAACCCAACCACCCCCAGAACTACCTCGGCCACAGCATCAACGCCCCCACCGGCCGCTGGCAGAAAAACAAAGACGTGCACTGGTACTCCCGGGACCTCAAAGACTCTGAAGCCGAACGCCTCGAAGAAATCCGCAAAATCAAAGAAGCAGAAGCGGATGCGTTGGCTGTTGCGTTGTATGTTGGGTTTATTATTACTCTCACTCTATTCTTCAACTTTTAACCCGCTCTTCACTAACCCTCCCCCCCCACAGAGGATTCACACCAGAACCCCGCTCCTCTTCTAAACCCGACACCATCTCCTCTTCCCTTCCCCAATCTGGTTCCCAAATAGGTGGAGACACCCCCACCCCACCCACCGACGCCCAACGCATCATCGCCAGAGAAGAAGCGAAAGCGAAAGAAAAGGAAAAAGAAGAAAAACGCCGAAGAAAGGAAGAAAAACGCGCTAGGAAGGAGGAGAGGCGGGTTTGGAAGGAGGGTAGGAGGGAGAGTAGGAAGGAGAGCAAGGAGGAAGGTGAAGGTCGGCGATGGGATAGGGGAGGTAGAGGTGATAGGGGAGAGAGAGGTGACAGAGGAGGAGGTGAAAGAGGTGAAAGAGGTCGTCGTTACGAGGACCACCACCAGCACTACGACGAATACAACCGCCGTCCAAGTCCAAGTCCAAGTCGACTTGAAACTAGGAGGAGAATAGAACGAAACAGAGCAAGAGCAAGAGCCAACGACAGCCGTAGTCGATCTCCATCTCCTAGATTTAGTTCGAGGTTACCTCCTAGGAATACATATCCTAATCATTAGCATTATTCGAAAACAATGATATGCAACATACATAACTGTTATCCTCCAGCTTGAAGAAGAAGAAAGTGAGAATTCCCTAATTCTAGCTATCACTCTCACTTTGAACTATGTAAACACCTGGTATGTACCCACAAACAAACTGCACTTGGTCAATGATACAAACAAAACTCAGTACACAATACAACCTACATACACACATATCTACATACTTATCAGATAAAAACACAAAAAATTGTCAGGATACTTCCTATGCATTAAGAGGGAATCGAACCCCCGGCGGGTCGATTAATCTGCTTAGAGTAGAAATGTGGCAACGACCCAGGTTACCACTACCCCATTAATGCGTTCTTCATCAATGGACACACGTGAGAAATACCACCCTCTAGTTAGGAACAACACTCGGGAGACTTTTGCCGTCGAGGAAGAGGGATTCGGTGAAGGTGAAGAGTGGGGTGAGAAGGTGGAGAGTGTCGAGGACCATGCAGAGAAGAACAGTTCGACAGAAAACAGACTGAAACCCCCACCCAACGCAACACGTACGGTGTGCTCGACTACACCGAAGCCCCAAACACTTTAGTATCCATCCCCGACCTCGCCTCCCTCCGCGCCCGTATCCACACCATCCGCGCAGTGTCCTCAGCACTAGTCTTCATAGTACTGCGCCAGCAACTCCACACCATCCAAGGTGTTTTAAGTATCTCAGACACCCAGGACGTTCCAACAGAGCATATGGTGCGGTGGGGGTCGAGACTCGAGGAAGAGACTATCGTGCACGTGAAAGGCATGGTACAGCGTCCCAAAGACGGGGAAGTACATTCCACGTCGGTACATATGGTGGAATTGAGGATTGTGGAATTGCATGTGGTGAGTGGGGTGGCGGAGCCTGTGCCGTTTAGTGTGTATGAGGCGGATTTGAGCGCTGCTGCGAAGGAGGTCGACGACGACGACGAGCTAAAGTCATTTATCCCTGACCGATCCCGTTTGGCGTCTAGGATCATCCACCTCCGCTCTGCCTCTGCACAGTCTATATTCCGTTTCCAATCCACCGTCTCCATGACCTTTCGTTCCCACCTCGACGGCACCGGCCTCGACTTTGTCCTTTCCTTAAAGGACATCTTCCCCTCCTCCTCCATCTCCATCCCCGGAGGCTTCATGGAAATCCACACCCCAAAACTCCAAGGCGGCGCCTCCGTCTTCAAACTCAAATACTTCTCCCGCCTCGCCTTCCTCGCCCAGTCCCCTCAGCTCCCCAAACAAGAGTACCTCGACACTTTCCGGTGGGGTGCTCCCCCCCCCCCACGGCAGCGCTGGGATCGGGCTGGAGAGACTGGTGATGTTGATTCTGGGAGTGAAAGATATCCAACAGACGAGTATGTTCCCCAGGGACCCAAGGAGTCTGATGGAGCCCCCGAAAGGACTCGAGGGCGTAAGGCACCCGGAGGCGGATACACTGGGAATCTCCCAACCAACACTCATCAAGTGTATCTGTCGTCCGAGGGATGGGTCACCGACACCGACACCAGTGGTGGGGTTGTCGGATTTGTCGTTGGAGAGTACCAGTTCCACGACCTCGAACCCTCGGCATCCACCACATCGTATTGGTCCCTCACCATTACACCAGTCCCTCCTCCCAGGTTCTCAACAACAAACCGTTCCCAAACGCACCCTGCCCACGGTCCCCGTGCTCATAGCCAACTACGGGGATGCAGCCAACACCTCCTGGTTAGACGATAGGTATTTGGTGTGGAGGGATGTTAGTACCGGGGCAGCTATTGGGTGAGTACCATTCATTCATCCATTTTATATCTAATTTCCTACTCAGATTCGTCCCATCCTCCTCCGGATCCACCATCATCGTCGGCGACCCCCTGTGCGACAAATCCCAATACCCCTCCGTCATAAACAGGTTCCTCCAATGGTTGAAACACGGGGAACAACACCGCAGTGACGAGGATCATAAGGATCATCATAACAACAACAATAGTAGGTATGGGTATATGTGGAGAGAAAGAACGAGAAGAAGAAGAATACGGTGTCAAAGTCATCTACATCTACATCTCTGGGTGAGGGGATCAAATCATTCCTTCAACCCCCCTCATCCCCCAAAAACACCTCCACCCCCTCCCACCCCTAAAACCAATCTGGCTCCTCGCCTCCGCCCAGCTCGAACACACCCTCGGCACGCGCCTCCTCCTGGCTCTCCTTCACCTGCGTCGCCGAGAGCCGCGTCGAGCTCTCCAGCAAAGTCCCCGCCGCGCTCCAGGAGAAAGAAGTCGCGCGCAAGGTGCGCAAGGCAGAGGCGGAGGGCGTGGAGGTGCGGCGGTGGATGGGGCGGGAGGGATTTTTTGTTGGACAAGGAAATAAGGGAGGAGGGGGGGGGGAAGAGGTAAACGAATACGATATATCCGATGGGATCCACATCGAGGAAGACCTTGATCCCAATACCACGGCCTCGAATTCAAAAAGCATGCCTCTGGGACTCAGACACACCATCGACGCGCGCATCCGGGAGTGGCGAGACGCGCGCGCGGCGAAGGGGGGACAGGTAAGGTTGACGGAGGTGGAGGTGTGGAGGGATTATGTGCATAGGGAGTATTTTGTTGCTTTGGCGCCGAGGAGGATGAGAGGGGAGGGGGGAAAGGATGGGGAGGGGGACGGGGAGGGGGAGGGGGAGAAGGAAGTGAAGGGGAACGAGGAAGAGAAGAAGGAGAAAGGGGACAAGAAGAAGAAAGGAGAAGAAAGGGAACCAGAACTAATCCCAGTAGCCCTCGTCGTCCTACACCAACTCTCTCCAATCCATGGCTTCCAAGTGAAATACGCCTTGGATTTCCCATCGACGGAGAGGTGGAGGACGGGGAGTACGAGTGGTGAGTAGTACTCATTTTTTTTTCTTTTCTTTTTTCTTCGCTCCTTGATACCTATTCTCGTCGGTTGACGCCCGTGCGTGGGGTGAAAGGGGTCAGGGTTAAGGTTCGTTTTATTCCTTCACCCTTGCTCCTTCTCTCATCCCTCCCTCTCCCTCCCTCCTTCCACCTATTCCCTTCCCCTCCCTTCCTTCCCTCCCTCCCTCCTCTCCTACTCTCACAGATCCTCTCCCACGCCTACGAAGCCATCTCCGAACGCATGTCCCTCCGCAGCAAGGGCGACTTCCGCAAGAAGATGGGCGCGGAGGAGGAGGATGTGTATATCTGCTACCCCCGCGGTGGGTTGGGTGGACGAGGGGCGAAGGCGGTGTTGGATTTTTGTGTTGCTGAGAGTTAGGTTAGATGGGTGGGGTGGGGGGAGTTGGGAGTTGGGAGTTGGTTTCGGAACGAGTATTGTTGCTTGCTACCACCTACCCCTACCACGGTCTCCTCTCTGTTTTCTCTTCCGTACTTCACCACTGTATATCCCCAAATAATCCTCTGTTCTTGCTATCACTACCCCCCTCCCTTTTTTCTGTTTGTCTGTCTCTGTCTGTCTGTCTGTTTGTCTATCTCTCTATCTCTCTATCTCTCTGTCCATCCATCTGTTTTCTTGCTCCAGTACACAATTCCTCCTCACTACTTACATTCTTGCTTGCTCGTAGAGCTACGTATATCTCCATACATATATAACCAGGCTATTCAAATATTATTCTAAATCTCTTATGTAGTGATCTTACTTTGTTTCATGGACCCTTTCTCGTGTTTAATGGTACTTCATATATCGTAACTTGTACTTCATATATCGTAGCTTGTGCTTCGTAGTAGATACCATCCTTCAAATCTTTGGCGGACATGTTGGATTTCAGTCCACCACTTGCGCATTTCTTACAAAGTGGAGTAGAGTTGACGAGATCATGATTACGAATAGTTGGACGTGTCAAATTGTTGTAGTGGTGAACATTGCGACTAGACTCGAAGTGCTCTCTGAGAGCTGAATTGTTCTCGAGGCGGTCCCATAGGACCTCTCGGTTGGAACAGTTTGCTTTGTAGGTCAGGTTTCTTCCACCGAAGAAAAGGCAGTAAGCGGACACGAATATTTCAGTCGGGATCGAACAATCGAGGGAAGCGGAAACGAGCCCTGGAGGAAAGAAAAAAACGAAAAAAAAGGCTGTGATAAGCGCTCATATGCATGGGTATCTCGACCCGAACTCGAGTACATTGACCGAAAACCTTCACGCAGGCATCATCACAACGCTCTCATCTCTACAGATCTCTACTCAGTTTCAATACAGGATGATCTGACTACATCAAGTAGATTTCGAGCGAAACTATCACCCTCCATCGGGGATTCACAATACTAACAACATCGGTGGTTACGCTAGGAATGTTTAAAGTGATAGGGTGCTTTAAGCTGATGATTACCCAACACTGGTGGTAGTGTAAAATGACTAAATTACTTGTCGCAGTCGAGGCGAAATAATTGCCTTGGGACGCGCCTCGCGTTACAGCAAGACAGGCTAAAACACGCCCATTTTGGATGACCCGAGGCTCACCAGGATGCTCTGCCTGAACTCTTTCCACCTCCTTTGCATTCTGGCCGTTATGGGAATCACTCAAGCATGACACTTCCCAATTCACACCATCATCTCTTTTTTGACCTAGAACTAATTTACCTGTGAGGGCGCTTACAAACGAAAACAAAGAGAAAGTCGACTGACGAGCATCTGAACCTCCGAGAGATGCAACCCATACATTTTCCTACCCTCCTACACCCCTCCTGGACCCTTGTGCTTTCATTGCAGATGCCCTGCTCAGCATCTTTCCCTGGCTGATCAGGTGAAAAATCTTATACAAACACACGGTATGCGACGCGTGAGCTCGGGTACCTTTATTTTATTTTATTTTATTTTTTGAGCCAGAAAAAAAAATCACGTCCGTCATCATTTTCCGAACACGCTGGTTAGGGATAGCGTTAGCATGGTCGGTTTCCTTTTGCAGCTGCTTGAATATACATCAGTTACCAAAGAAAATTTGCACAGTAGCCTCTAAAGAGGTAGCGGGAACAAACAATCTCTCAAAGTCTCTCCCTGTTATAATCATCTCGTATATACACCGTTCAAATCATCCACGGAGCTTATAACCCAGCTCAAGCAACGCAGTTTGACCCCTATACACATACCCCATCGCCGCATCCGGATGCCTCTGAACCTCAGCCCCCAACTCACTATACTCATCCTGTTCATACCAAACATAACACTCATCCCCCTCCTCCTTACACTCCTCCCCCACCCCACTCCCCCAAAACGAAAACCCATGCAGATTCAAATGTACATTATCATCGTATCGGTTATCATACCTCAACTCGAAATTTTTCGCATCTTTTGGTTCTTTCGACACATGGTCTGATTTTCGCCATTCTGTGAGGATTGATTTTATTT